TTTTTTTTTTTTTTTTTTTTTTCACGTGGTTCGCAGGGCTACGGTCGCGGGTCAGCTGTTTCAGAAATTCTTACTTTGTATACGATCTTTACAGGAATTCTTTTATGCGCCGTACTTATTCGCCACCCGTCGTGTACCGGGATCGAAGTGGGTGCAGTTGCCGAGGTGATACATGAAATTTGACATTTTCATCGCTTTCCGATAAAATCAATGAACGAGCTTACGAACGCAATTGATATACATATACGATAGAATGGTAAAATAGAAAATAGTATCGAACTGTTCGAATCACGCTTGAAACTTCGTCTGCCAATCGACTCGTTAGATACGTACTGACTTTTAGGAAGTGTTAGAAAAAAAGAAAAAAGAAAAGAAAAACAATGAAAAGTATCTCCGAGTACTCCTCAATGAAAATGGGGCAATGGCTTTTGAATACATCAAGCGGTAGCTCCGCTCGAATGAAGTGGCCTGGTAGGTACACTGTATTTGCGTAAATGCACGAAATACTCGCTTTTGACCTTTGGAATAACTTTTTGAGCCCGATACGTCAGCCGAACGAATTTGTTATTGAAATGAGCTCTCGCGCTATATGTAATAACCACTTAATCGACGTACGCAGAATGCGTATGGCTCTGCGTACGTAAATACGGGATATACAGCTACACCGTTGAACAATACTAGCAAAATTTGACAGCTGTCGTACACCGTTCTCCTTTTGTTTCCGTGAAATTTCACAGAGTCGTGCGGCAGCCTAATGTTTACGTGTTTTCAGACTGTCGATTCGCGAATTGCCAATTTGAATTTACCGATCGGATAAGGGCCGATAGAGGTAGGTGGTGTGTTTACCTTACGATTTTACGAGTTTCCTATACCCGCCGCGAGTACGAGAGAGACGGACTTATGGGGTTTTTACGTGCGTCAGAGAAGGACAGACTCATGAAAAAAATAATCGTCAAGGGTTCGGAGCCCTTTCAAAAATTTCCTACAAATTATAAATTCTTACGTATATTGAAATTTCATAATCGTACATTAATTCTTTTCGCTCATTTTTCGTGTTGTTAACAAAATTTCAACTTGTACACAATTTTTATTTTTTTCAATAAAACGCGAATTAATTCGCGAACTCAGACACGCGTTTCAGGGTCTTCGCGGTATCGCTGTCTCTGTCTCTTACGCAGGTAAAGTCGAAATGCTCTTCGGTGTTATTGTACCGTACGACACGGCAACGTGTCTCGTAAATTGTGC